TGTGTGTGTGTGTGTGTGTGTGTGTGTGTGTGTGTGTGTGTGTGTGTATGATTACATTTCTTTAATTTTTGATTTCTAATGAATCTTTAAATCAGTGATTTGTGTGGGAAAGTCCTTCTGTATGTGTGTTGCTTTTATTGGTTAATGAATGAAGCTGTTTCTGTTAAAGTGGCTTAGCAGAATAGAGCAAGGTAGGAAAACAATAGGCGGAGTCAGGGAGAAGCCAGGTAGCTGCAGGAGGAGAAAGACACAAGTTGCCAGCAGGAACCTTGCTGGAAAACCACAAGCCTTGTTGTAAAATATAAAATAATAGAAATGGGTTAATTTAAGATGTAAGAGCTAGCTAGAAATACAGTTAAGCTATTGGCCAAAGAGTATTGCAGATAATACAGTTTCTGTGTGATTATTACAGGTCTGAGTGGCTGGGAGTGAACAAGCAGCCTCCGCCAAAAAGTGGTTCTCAACCTTTCTAATGTGATGGTTTAATACAGTTACACATGCTGTGGTGACCCCTAACCATAAAATTATTTCATTATTACTTTATTTTGCTACTATTACCAATTTTGCTACTGTTATGAATCATAATATAAATATCTCATGTGCAGGATATCTGATATGTTACCTTCAAAAGTTAGAGAACTGCTTCTTTAAACTGTTGTTAACTTGGCTGTGGCTATTACATAGTGTTAGAGTGTTTAGAGGAAAAGTCTTGGTTTTAATCCTTAGCAAAACACACAGAGAGAGAATTTGTGCACATATGTGTGTATGTATGTATGTACAACACATATCTATGTAGTCTTCTTTAGTATTTTGGTAATGCCAATAATATAAATAGGATAAGAAAAAATTAAGACTAAATGATAAATTCCCCCAGTCTTTGTTAATCCAATGTATGAGATCAGAAGTTGCATGCCATCCATACCCTCTCTAATTTTGCAAAATGTCAAGAATCATACGGCATCTATGTCTCTTCCTACACGTACATGTGAACTACAGAGAGTACACAGGAGATTGTAATTCACTGGAGTGAGACTTGTTCCTTACAGCACCATCCCAAGGCTTGCTGAGCCACTATGCTCAGCTCTTGCCTAAGGTGTCCACGATCCTCCCCTCAATGCCATCCCCAAAAGAACACCACGGAACCATGTGTTTACATTTCATAAGTTTGTGTAGCTAATGCTTGTTATTCAAGGTGACAGTACTTGTAGAAAAAGAGTTTTAAGATTTGGAAGACAGGTTGGGGAAGCCCCTTGGCTATCAAAAACACGTAGAGCAGCATTAAAAGCATCAATCAGGTTTCTTCTTAGTAACTGTGGGGCTCATCATTACTTCTTTTCAGTAACCACGGGTTTTATTGTTGCATGCGATGACTGTTGAAAAGTTCACACTCAGCGGAAAACAAAGAAGGATGCAGAAGCAGACCATTGTTCCCACACTAATAAGCAGTCTCCCAAAAGATCTCTAGAGGAATGTACCCCATAACTGCCCCCTTGTCAGAGAGACTTCATGAGCCAACCAAGACCCTTAGAAAACACACATAAAAGCCAACTCACACTTTATAAGCAGAGAGAGAAAATTAATTAAGCAGATAAACTCTGACTTTCACATTTTTTTACATCCTGTTGCAAACAACATATTAATAAATAAAGGATTCTTTATAAAAGTAGCCCCCCGGTCTAATAATAGTCACCAGATCCTTTACTTACAAACGCTTGATTTTTTTTTGCTTCCTTAGTTTTCAAAAGCAGATTTTTAGCCAAAGTGTGTCAAGGGCCAGTAATTCTAGCACTTAGTGCAAGAGGCAGAAGAATCAGAAATTCCTCCTGTGTTACATAGTGAGTTGGGGACAGATCTACTGAATAAGATCATGTCTCAAAAGTAAATAAAGAATGGAAAAACAGATATTTGGAAGCCACCCAACAAAATGGTGTGTAGAGGGGAATCCCTGTGTGGATTGGGTATCTGCTTGAGAGATACCACCCAATAATTTTACCTTGTCAGAAATTCATGGCACACACTGAAGAGTGCACCTCGGTAGAATTTTTCAACCTCATAGTTTTAAAAAAAATAACAGTCAACAAGGCAGTTAAAATAGTAATCATTAAGAAAATAGCATTTCAGATGAGTGTCTTCACGTTGTAGTCTCTGTAGTCAAACATGTCTTTATGGCTCTCTTGTGGAAATGTAAAGTGATATAAATGGGACGACAGCCTAACTTCTCACTGCTTTATTCTATGTCACGATGCTTTTTGCTTGTTTTACACTGTGCCCCAATTTGACCACAACAGCTATTAAATTAGTCTTCAAATCTCAGTGAGACAGTACCCAGTAATTGGGACAGAACATAGGCATTGTAAGGATATGTACTGTGTGTGAGGAATGTAAAACTAAATAACTTATTCCAATTTACCTCTCATCTAGCATTTTCTTCTAGCTCAGTTAATTAATATTTTCACTGAAGAAAGAATGTCAACATAATGAATAGATAATGCATTTAGTATGCTAAAAAGTGAAGGTTATGGAAAAATAAGAAAGCTGGGTTAGAAAGACTGAAGATAAAACTTGCAGGAGTTTCTGAGACTTTAGATGAAATAGAAAGAACAGGTATCAGAGAGCTGACATGTGTGCAACAATTTCAAGAGAGAGGGATGAGAGTTTAATGAATATCAGAGAAATGATATTCCAGGAAGAGGAATCTGCAAGAGCTAAACTCGTGGGTTCCTGACAAGAGTAACGTGTGGAGGAGCAATCAGCAAAGGACCAAAGGGACTAGGGCAGGGCAGAAGTACAGATGAGAGCTTGGGATGTGATATTGAAGGGTAAGAGTGCAGGGATTTGGGGGCCAGTGCTGGAGCTGTACTCACTGTAAAATGGGGAAGTGACCGACCATTTAGTGAAGAAGAGCATTCTCTGATGTCTGTGGTAAACAGATCACTCTAGCCGCCCTAGGCGGGTCCAAGGCTAGAGCAGGGCAGCTTGTGAAAACACTTGGAATAAGGCCACAGGGAGACATAAAGAAAACTCAGACAGGGCTGTTGGAAGTAGAGTGGTGCGTGGAACACACCTTTAATCCCACAATTTTGGGAGGCAGAGGCAAGAGGATCTCAGTGAGTTTGAGGCCAACCTGATCTACAGAGTCAGTTCCAGGACAGCCAGAGTGTTACAGAGTCTTGAAAAACCAAAACTAAACAAGTAAATAATGAACAAATGAATAAATAAAATAAAGAATAATGAGTCTTTCTGAGCAAAGCTAAGTTATTAGTAGGTACCAGGCCCTGGTGGGAAGAATGCTGCTCCTTTTCTGAATGTCTGCTTCCTTTGGCTCAGGAATTATTTCTCTTATGATCCCAACCTCTCACTTCCACTCTCAGCATCCTGTTCTGGACCCTAACCCCGCCTCCCTCCTGTAACAGTGATTATGCTGAATCCACCCAACTAATTTAGGTAATCAGTCTGCTTTAAGAGACTTTAATTCACCTCATCTATGAAGGGATTGTTAGCCACTAATCTAATAAGATTTAGAGACTTTTTATCTAGTCGGCCATATCAATGAAACGACCAAAAACATGGGAATGTTTGAGTGGTTAAGGCAATGTTAGGGGCTGAGAGCTTTTCTGGTTAACACTTAGCATCTCAAAACTGTGTTTGGTAAAACAGATTAAGGAAAACACTGTGATGGAAGTCAAAGACGTCTGTGTCCTAGTTTCTGTCCTGCATCCCTTGCCGAACTTCAGAGATGATGAAAACTCTCCAGGGATTCACAAATGGTCACACTACGTTTATGTTGATGACATTGACCGTTCCAACCAATTTCACTGTGATCAATTGATCACTGACTGCCAAGGTTTTCTTCTCTATTTTCAAAATTAAAGACATATAGCTGAGGTAATAAAGAATACATTCTTTGTGACAATAACCCTTTTGAATCAAAAATAACAATTTCCACAAAATAGTATCTACGTATGAAGAGCAAGGAGAGGAGTGAAAGACAGAGTACAGCAGTGGACTAACCTGAGGTGTGTTCTTCCAGAGTGGCTTTCCCTTTCGCTCCGCTGACTTTGCACAACATTCATAGTGTTAAAATACAGCCGAAAATCTTCAAATCCTCACTTACGCATTTATAAGCCATTAGTAATTTTGTTGCTGTTTCCAAATTAGGCAGATTGGCCTGTGAGTTGAACTGTGAAGGAAAGGAAATCAAAGGGGATATTGTTTCCCTTACTGTAAGTCTATTGTTTTAGTAGAGTGAGATGGTCGATACTTTACAATGTAGCTTCAGAATAGTTCCCTTTGTCAAGCTTAGTCAGAATTTGGGCAAAAACAATGGGCCTGAGGATTCCTTCCTGCTCTACAGCTCAAAACCAAAGATTAAGCTTCCTGTAATCTCTAAATAAAATGGCTCAAAAATAAGATTCTCAAGAATTATAATGCTTAAATAGATTTATCTTACAGCCCATGTCTTTGACACTTCCAGATTTTATTCAGACAATCATTTTGATTGATTTGGAAGAATAATTCTTCCTCTATAATCAATCAATCAATGTTTTAACACTTAAATCTTTTGGTAATATAGCTTACACAAGCATGATAAAAGGTAAATTACTACAATTTGAACAGTATATGTTTATTCATAAAACGTTTTACATAAATAGATCTATAGCAAGTATAAAATAATTATAATTTTTATAACATGGCATGTATTAATTCCTGAAAAATATTTTAAGTAAACAAATCTACAGCAAAGGTAAAAATGAGCATTTGTGAAAACAAGACATTTACTTCATTTCTTGCATTACACTAGAAATATAATTATAGTATTTTCTTAGATAAAGTTGGGAACAATGTGCTAATTACTTTTTATAATTAAAACTTAAGCTAAAATGATCTTTTCATATAGTATATGTAAGATACAAAGAGAAACTGTGCCTATAATTAAAGGACTAGTCTTTGCTTATGGTAGAAATACTGTTCTCCTTAAAATAATTGGGATACATGAGTAATGTGTAACTATATATAACTTTTTAACTTATTTGTATAAAGTATGGCAAAAGAAAATTTCTCACAAACACTTCTAAATACCTGTATGACAGAAGTTACTGTTTTTAAACCAAAAGAGCTAATAGCATAATGTACAAATGTAACCGAGAAGTTATTTAAGAAGGAGCATAGCTGGTACCAGCTCAGCTATTATTTTTGTAACTCCAAACAGCAACACCTGCTCACGTAAGTGGATTTAATCTCTGAGGAATGTGCTTTATAGTCCATTTTTTAATTTATGTTTCTTACTTGGTAATCCAAGTGAAATCTGAATTTGGGAAACCATCTGAGAACTGATATCCTTTCATTTGAAGCAGTATTATTTTATAAGAGAGATTTTCATTTAAACTCATTATCATTCATCACTGACATTTGAGAGAGAGCTTTCGAAAACATAGAATTTATATTCATGCATGATCCGCATGCTTGGCCTTAGGATAACTTGCATCATATAATATCCTAAAGAGCTTATTAAAAAAAAGTAGTTTCCCACATTCCACCCAACTCAGCATCATTGAAGCGGCATCCTGAGGCAGGGTGTGGCTCAGAAATCTGAGCATGAAACAAGTTGAGCTGGTGAGACAAGTGGAGAAAGTTCTGGGTGGTTCTGTTATCGACGGCTAATGTCACAGTTTTCTGTGTTTTGCTCTATCAAACTTATTTAATGAACAATTCACTCTGAGAACAGATTATATATATATATATATATATATATATATATATATATACACTGTTACATACATATATATGTTATATTTATGCATTATATATATTATATATTGTATTTTGTGAAGCTTCTTCTTTCAAATTTTCTGTGTAGCACATGTGTGCCTGGTACTCACAGAAGCCGAAGACAGAGAGAGTTATAGACAGTAGTGAGCCGCTGTGTGGGTGCCTGGAACAGAAACTCAGGTCTCTGTAAGAGCAGTAAGATGTCTTAACCACTAAGCCATCTCTTAAGCTCCATGAGCTTTCCTGCTTTCCTTTTAAAACTAATGTTTGCTAATGTGTGGAATACAAAATGTTAGCAATCATTATCCCCCCTTCTTCTTCTCTTCTTCTTCTCCTTCTCCTCCTCCTCCTCTTCCTCCTCCTCCTCCTCTTCCTCCTCCTCCTCCTCTTCCTCCTCCTCTTCCTTCTACTTCTTCTTCTTCTTCTTCTTCTTCTTCTTCTTCTTCTTCTTCTTCTTCTTCTTCTTCTTCTTCTTCTTCTTCTTCTTCTTCTTCTTTTGAGACAGGGTTTCTTTGTAGTTTTGGAGCCTGTCCTGAAACTAGCTCTTTTAGACCAGGCTGGCCTCGAACTCACAAAGATCCGCCTACCTCTGCCTCCTGAGTGCTGGGATTAAAAGCGTTTAAAAGCGTACACCACTACTGCCGGGCATTATCCCTTCTTATATACTCTAACTTGGTCCAGTTCTCAGTCTGACTCCAGGTATTCAAAGCTTCCTAAAAGCTAACAACTGAATGCCAGTGCTAGATGAGTAATAATACAAATTTCTCTTTCATGTCTTCCTTGGATCAATTTGAAAATATTTGTTCTTTTTTTTAAACATTTTTGAAGACTCATTTGCAAATATATGCCAAGTTCCTCATACCCCATTCACTTTTTTGTTTTCTATATTCTAAGTGGCTGAGATTATGTTTAATATATTTCCATAATGAATATTTTAAAAGTATTTTTCCAAACACAAAAGCACAAAAGATAATATTCTACCTATATACCCCGACTTTCTTCAAATCATTTAGGCCCTATAAGACATAAAATAGATTCATCTTGTTGAAATTCACATTTACATAAAGTAATATTTTTAGAATTAAAATTCAGATACTGATTCCAGCTATCACTACTGATCTTAATCTGCATTGTAGAATGTGTAAGATTGAATGAATAGGTTATAAGGTCCATGTAAGAGACTAAGACTCTGGAGCATCACTTAGAAAAGAGAAAGCAACCATTATGAAGTTGTTATTTTTGCAATACCTTAATCATATTTTATTTGTGTACTTCTATCTGGAACTATCTTTTCAAGCTGTCTCCAGAAAATCTATACAATTTTTCACATGTCAGCTGCACATAATAATCCATAGATAATACAGTCATCAGGGGATTGATCCAGGGCCTTCCCACCCCAAAGTCTACCAATGCTTAACTCCTATGACTAAAGTAATTTTGTATTTGCATAATGCCTACATAAATCTTCTCATTGAATTTAAATCAACTATAGTTGATTAATACCTAGTATGTTATTTAAAGGTCTATTATACAACTCTTCTTCAAGAATGATAAGAAAATCTGGACATGTTAACTGTAGACATATTTATTTGCCTTTTTGAAAAGACCCTCAATTGGTTGAAATCATAGATGTAGTGTATTGAATGTATACATCCATTTCCAGAACATACTTTACTTTCACAGCTTCTCAGCGACCTTGGGAAGCTTCAGAATGCAACCTCTAGATTTTTGCGCTTCTTTGCACATCCCCTGACACCCTAAGAGTCCCTTAGCTCTTACCTTCACACTTAATCTCCATAGATAAGTGTTATCAAAGTGACTGTTGTTCATGTCCTCTGTGCCATGGAGCAAACATGTCCTGATAGGACTTTGGTATCAGTTACACTTCACACATTACATTCAAAAGCTAACCCTCAAGTCCCAGAAAATGTATTTCTTTAATTTCTATGCTGCATAAACAAAAACAATATGTTACCTTTTGAGGTTAATCCTATATACAGGAATCATAAAATTAACAAGATCAAGTAAACGCAAAACACTTGGAAGCCTGTGTTCAAGGTACAGAATGTAGAGACTGTAAAGTGACATTGTAGGACAGATTAAGATTCACATTGGCTACATGGGGGAGTTCTTTATTTGATTGACGATCCCCAATACACATAAAATGCAAATTTTAGAAATTCAAGTGATATTTTCTGTAGAAAACATGGGAAAAGCACAGAGATAAATGACAAAATGAAGTGAAGTAAAAAGATGACTGATGTGTAGTTAGAGGACTTCATTCTAAAACCTCACTGGGGTGTTTCTACAGTGATGTAACAGGAAGGGAAAGCAGTGAGGAGCTGCAGCCAGTGAAACGATTGATTCCAAATCAACAAGGAGAAAAACCTCCCTAGTATGATGTCTGATTCGATCAAGACAACTAGAATTAAATCACAAGTAGAGAACACATCTAGGTGTAAAAGATGTCACATGACATTCCTTAACAAGGACAAATAGTTTTGGATTCCTTTTATTATTATTAAAATTTCCCCCTCCCCCCTTCTCCCATTTCCCTCCTCCTCTCCCCTCCCCCTCCCTCTCAGTCCAAAGAGCCTTTAGGGTTCCCTGCCCTGTGGGAAGTCCAAGGTCCTCCCCTCCTCCATCCAGGTCTAGGAAGGTGAGCATCCAAACAGACTAGGCTCCCACAAAGCCAATAGATGTAATAGAATCAGAACCCAGTGCCGTTGTTCCTGGCTTCTCAGTCAGCCCTCATTGACAGCCACATTCAGAGAGTCCAGTTTGATCACATGCTCCATCAATCCCAGTCAAGCTGGCCTTGGTGAGCTCCCATTAGATCAGCCCCACCGTCTCAGTGGGTGGAAGCACCCCTCGTAGTCCTGACTTCCTTGCTTATGTTCTCCCTCCTTCTGCTCCTCATATGGACCTTGGGGAGCTCAGTCCAGTACTCCAATGTGGGTTTCTGTTTCTAGCTCCATCCATTGCCCTATGAAGGTTCTATGGTGAGATGCAACATATTCATCACTGTGGCTATAGGATAGGGTCAGTTCAGGCGCCCTCTCCTCAGCTGCCCAAGGAACAAGCTGGGGACATCTCCTTGGACACCTGGGAACCCCTCTAGAGTCAAGTCTCTTGCCAACCCTAAAATGGTTCCCTTAATTAAGATATCTACGTCCTGCTCCCATATCCACCCTTCCTCCATCCCAACCATCCCATTCCCCCAAACTCTCCCCATGCTCCCCTTCTCCCTTCTCTCTACACATCTTCCCTTACCCCCACCCCACCCCCACCCCAAGCTCCCAATTTTTGCCTGGCAAACTTGTCTACTTCCAAACACCAATGATAGCTTTTGTGGGAGAGGATGTGGAGTAAAGGGAACACTCATCCATTGCTGGTGGGCATGCAAACTTGTGCAACCACTTTGGAAATCAGTGTGGTGGTTTGTCAGGAAATTTGGGATCAACCTACCCCAGGATCCAGCAATACCATTCTTGAGAATATACCCAAGAGATGCCCTATCATACTACAAAAGCATTTGTTCAACTATGTTCATAGTAGCATTATTTGTAATAACCAGAACCTGGAAACAACCTAGATGCCCCTCAATGGAAGAATGGATAAAGAAAGTGTAGAATATACATGCATTAGAGTACTACTCAGTGGTAAAAAAACAATGACATCTTGAATTTTGCATGCAAGTGGATAGAAATAGAAAACACTCTTCTGAGCGAGGTAACCTAGACCTAAAAAGATGAATATGGTATGTACCCACTCATAAGTGGATTCTAGCCATACATAGAGGACATTGAGCCTATAATTCGTGATCCTAGAGAAGCTAAATAAGAAGGTAAACCCAAAGAAAAACATATAGTTATCCTCTTGGATTCTTTAATACTACACAGAATATTCTAAGTGTTAAAAGATGAATAGACTTTTTTCATTCATATGCAAATGACATTTATTAACAGTGTATCTGCACTTTAATTTCATTAAAATTGTTAGTTACTGTAAAAGATTCTAAACTTTTCATTCTCCTCTCCTTACACAAGTTTAACTTCAATATGTCTATTATTTTATGTCTATTATAGAATAACCTAGTCAAATGTTTTCCCATCTTTTGCTGAATTTTGACAAATAACGTGTATTTCATTGAATTAGACATATTTAAGTAATATTTGCGTTCCACCAACAAGCACAACAAAATGAAATTGTGAGTACCTAGTCTTGCCAAGCTTAGTTGGAATCTGTAGAAAGGTTGTGGGCTACTTTTGTTTTTCCCTCAATGTTTAGTCTTAATATTATGAGATCAGTGTAATACTGACCTTCTTAGTTACTTTTCCAGTGCTATAAAGATACCACGATAAGGGAAAATTTTAAAAGAAAGCATTTTGTTAGAGGCTTGCTTACAGTTTCAAAGGCTGTGTCCATGATCATTGTGATGGAAAAGCATAGCAGCAAGCAGGCAGGCATGGCAGCGAAACAGCAGCCGGGAACTTACATATTATCCACAAGATGGAAGCAGGGGTGGAAGGAGGTAGAGAGAGAGGGAAACAGGAGGAGCTTTGGAAACTTCAAAGCACACCTCCAATGACACACCTCCTCCAACAAGGCCACACCTCCTAATCTGTCCCAAAATAGTTCCACCAACTGGGGACCAAGTACTCAAATGTATGAGTCCATGGTGCCCTTTCTCATCCAAACCACCATAGAGCCTATACATCTCTCTGAAATGTTCTTTACTCTCTTCTCTTCTGTTTTTTGTTAAGTACTTGGGTGTTGGGAGATAGTCCTTCTACACACACAACTGAATATGTATACATTTATTTGCTAATATTTTTTCTGAAATAACTCTAATTTTATTAGTGTCATGAACAACACCAACAAGAAAAATCTATTTAGTCAGTCCTGACAGCTCACTCTTGTGTCAGCAAGTCTCCTAACATATATCATGACACATTGCATTGGAATGTTTGATCCAAGATAAGGAATAAACTTTCACATTTGGGCCTATGGAACATAGAGTCTCAAAGCCAAGACTCTGGATCTTCTCCTAAAAGATGCCAGCTGTAAAAGGGAGTCCTATACTCAAGAAAGATGTTTGTGACTTTTCCCATTCAAATGGCGAGAGGTCCAGTAGATTACTTCAACCCAACTGTCTGGACACTCGTCTGCTATTTTTTCCCCCCGGTATAATATAGTTTCTCTAATATTTATGTCACCGGACTAGAAAGAACAAAAATCTGTTTTCAAAAACAGAGATAATTAACTCAAACCTTCAGATCATCAATCAAGATGGTCCCTTATGCAATTCTGAGTTTATTCTGCAACGTTGGTGAAAACAAAGGCACAGTTAAGAAGACTTGAGATGACTGTCAGTGACTCTTACCATCTTCATGTGGGTGGGTAGGAACTGCTGCAGCCATCAAGTTTCAGTCGGTTGCATGTGCAGTTTGAGTTTTCACCACACCCATTTCTTCTTTTCTCAAGCCTTTGCATCACATCCTGGGCAAACAATCCTGTGTCCCTCCCACACATTTATTTTAATTGTCTTCATCCTCAGGGAGGTTTGTCCTTCAATTCTTAATAGAGCTTGCTGCAGTAGCATTTTATAAATCTAAATGGTTCATAGTTGTAATTACATTGATATTAAATTTCCTCTTTAGCACTAAAATTTTGATATTAAATTAACTACGAGATATTTTCTTATATCGTTAGCAATCAAAAAGAAAATAAGAATGGACTGATATTAGGTTTTAATTTTGTTGCTGTTTTTGTTCTGTTTTTAAAATAACAATACTTAAGAAACAAAAGACGAATTTTAGGCGCAACTAATTTAAGTTTTAAAAGTGACAATGAAAGCCTAAGTTAAAACAAATAGTGAAATTACCAAGAATTAGAAAACACTGGATTCCCTTTCAATTTAAGATTAACTGAATGCAAAATTTGAGCAATACAGGACATGTCACCAAATATTGCTAAAGACTTTTGATATTTATATGAATCTTAATGTTGAGAGTCACTAGAAATTTGTAGGTAGGTGGTGTGTGTGTGTTTGTATTGAAAAAAAAGCAAAGTAATAAGTTTTAACCTATAATTAGTAGTGTATCAATATCTGTTAAAAAGACAAAACCAGAGTCTTAACTATATAAAAATGATAATGTTGTAATATAATACAATCATGTATTCTGAGATGTATATTGAATGTTTTTTTATGCTGGCATAAATTTCTATTTTTCTACTTCAATTCTTAATGTACCAACAATCTGTCATTGACTTTGTTGAAGTGGTCTTAGGAAAGGAGATTAGACAAGTGTCTATGGATGATAGATGAACAATGTATATTATGAAACAATATATAAAATTTATATAATGAAGTATTGCTCAGTATGAAATTAAAAATTTGGGAGATGGATCTCTCAGTAAAGAGCTAACCTCACAAGCATGTGGACCTGAGTTGGGATCCTAAGTATACATGTAAAGATCTCATGTGGCATGTTTTTCATCCCAGGGCTCGGGAAGCATATACATACACACACACACACACACACACACACACATATACATACATATACACACACATACATATACATATATATATATATATATATATCCACAAATAAATGAAATTCTGCTATATGCTAAAACATGAGTAGATACAAAGAACTAAAAATCCAGATTCCAAATCACAAGTATTTCATGGTTCCTCTCATTTTGGGTTTTACAATGACAGTAAACTACCTAAAACATGGAAACAGAATAGTTACCTGGAACCCTAAGGGAATGGAGGTTGTGTAATGCATGGAGCTTTACTCTGAGTTGTGGGTATGGATGACAGGGCCATCTATCATATCAATGCTCTTTTTTGCTGGTTTTTTGAGGCAGAGGGTCTCTGTGTACTCACTCTGTAGATAAGGCTGGCCTCAGACTCACAGAGATCCCCTGCCTCTGCCTACTGAGTGCTAGGATCAAAGGTATGCACCACTACCACCCAACTGAAATCAATGTTCTTATAGTCACTACACAACATTCTTAAAATTGGCTAGGTTGGTAAATTTTATGACCACAAAGAAGCAAGAAGTAGGTAGAGAACCTCCACACTGCTGTCCATTTGGTATCTGTAGTAGTTTGGGTATAAAATGCCCCTCAAAGGCTCACAAGGTGGGCCTTTACAGTTAGCGATGGTATTTTTGGAGGTATGAGAGACGCTAAGATAAAGGCTACTTGGAGGAAGTTAGACCATGACACATCATTTTATTTAATTCTCTTATTCCTGTTGCTGTGAGAAAAGTTACTTTACACTAGCCTTATCTGGTATAATACCATTCAGCCTTCACATGGCTGATAAATACCAGGCCAAGCTGAACACAGATAACTAAAAAAGAATCTCAGGGGGACTCAGGAATGTTGTGAAATTAAACTAAAAAGAATTATGAAGAAACACAGAAGAAAAAGCTAATGTCAAAATGAAGCTGGCATTTTTATATCTTTTATCTAATATGATTAATCACATTGATGAATCATTTTTGTGAATGTATGTGAATGCATGTATAAAAGCTCTTTAAGGTAGTTATTTATTTTAAATGTTTGGAATGACCAGATATGCCCTCTATTTACTTACTGAAAATGCTAATCCATAAAATTTTGATGTTTTACTTTCTTCAAAAGTCAAGTTATAACATAAAGTTATGAGATTAAAGTTAACTTATTTGCTAAGATATCTAAGAGCCTAATGTTCAACATCTATTATGTAGCTTAGTTTTATTTTAAAAATTAAAAAGTAGCAATTACCTAGTTAAGATAATACAAACAGGACTGAGTAGCAGCTAGCGGTCTGATGGTTGTATGAGAGCAGGCAATATATGAGATTAATCAGATCAGACATGGTATACATTTTGCTGTCATATATACTAAAATCATAAATTAAACCACACAAAAGCTAGAAGAGAGCCAGCATTTCCTTTTAAATCACAACAAATTTCCTTAAATGCAAGTATCATACCCACATAACATAACTTTAGTCTCCCATATTCTAAAACAAGATATTTAGATATTGACAAAATACATATTTTACCTTGTGAAGCAAATTCTTTGAGATTTATTTATAAATCTCAAATGTGTTTCATAACGATAAACAAGGTACAAGGATGATTTCACCAAAATTAAAGGAATAAGAACTTCTAAAAAATATCTCCTGTAAAAACATCAAGAAAAACTTACCACATTCATATTTTGCAGAAATTTTGGAGATCAGTCAAAGGCTTATGAAAAATGAAGAAAGACTTTTCTAGACAGAGAAAAAATAGTCAAATCTCAATAAACGGGAAAACTGAGAGTTTTGCAGGTTTGTCTGCTAGTCCTATTCTCTATCGCTGTAGCCTTAAAGAATAGCAGTGAAGCGCTGGTACAGGCTGACAGACACTGGAGGGAGCAGAGTAATCTAGAATTCTCTCAAAGATTTCTTCCTAATATCTTGTCCTTGTCTGACCTGTTGGCTTGCTGGTTGCTGGTTGCATTATGGTTGCCAGAACTGGATGCATTCTTCCTTTCGTAGCATGTGAAGGAGGTGTTTGTAGTGGTCTTTGTTAGAAATAACTACAGGTAAATATTTAACCTTGTGACTGCTTAGGGAAATTGTTAACCACTAAGCTTCGAAATACCCACGCTACAAAGCCCAGAAGACTAGCACTGTGCCCATCTAGTAAAGGTATTCCCAGCCTTCCCTGGAAACTGAATTTTATCCAGAACTCATGTAAAGGAAGAAGGAGACATCTGACTCGCACCGCTGTCCTCTGTCTTTTATGTGCATATGGTGGCATGGATGACCCTCTAACTAAGAAATGATTGGGGTTTTTTATTGATTTTTATTGAGCTCTACATTTTTCTTTGCTTCCCTCCCTGCTTCTCCCCTCCCCTTCAACCCTCCCCAAGGTCCCCATGCTCCCAATTTACTCAGGAGATCTTATCTTTTTCTACTTCCCATGTAGATTAGATCCATGTAGTGTCCTCATTGTTGTCTAGGTTCTCTGGGATAGTGATTTGTAGACTGGTTTTCTTTGATTTATGCTTAAAAACCACCTATGAGTGTACATGTGATAATTGTCTTTCTGGGTCTGGGTTACCTCAATCAAAATGATGTTTTCTACTTTCATCCATTTTCCTACAAAATTCAAGATGTCATTTTTTTCTGCTGTGTAGTACTCCATTGTGTAAATGTACCACATTTTCCTTATCCATTCTTTGGTTGAGGGACATATAGGTTGTTTCCAGGTTCTAGCTATGACAAACAATGCTGCTTTGAACATAGTTGAGCACATGTCCTTGTGGTACAATTGAGCATCTTTTGGATATATACTAAAAGGTGGTAATACTGGGTCTTGAGGAAGGTTGTTTCCTAATTTTCTGAGAAATTGCCACACTGATATCCAAAGGGGCTGTACCAGCCTGCCTTCCCACAAGAAATGTTGAAGTATTTCCTTTTTCCCCACAACCTCTCCAACATAAGTTGTCATCAATGTTTTTGATCTTGGCCATTTTTACAGGCTTAAGATGGAATCTCAGAGTTGTTTTGATTTGCATTTCTCTGATTAATAGGGATGTTGAATATTTCCTTAAGTGTCTTTCAGCCATTTTAGATTCCTCTGTTGAGAGTTCTCTGTTTAGGTCTGTACTCCACTTTTTAAAAATTGGATTATGTGTTCTTGTGATGACCAATTTTTTGAGTTCTTTGTATAGTTTGAAGATCAGCCCTCTTTCTGATGTGGGGTTAGTGAAGATCTTTTCGCACTCTACAGGCTGTTGTTTTGTCTTGTTGACCATGTCCTTTGTCTTACAGAAGCTTTTCAGGTTCATGAGGAGAGAGCAGGAATACAGGAACATACCTAAATATAATAAAGGCAATATACAGCAAGCCAACAGCTAACATCAAACTAAATGGAGAGAAACTCCCAGCGATTCCACTGAAATCAGGAACAAGACAAGGTTGTCCACTCTCTCCATATCTATTCAATATAGTTCATGAGGTCCTAGCTAGAGCAATAAGACACCAAAAGGAGATCAAGGGGATACAAATAGGAAAAGAAGAAGTCAAACCCTCACTGTTGGCTGATGATATGATACTTTACATAAGTAATCCCAAAAATTCTATCAAGGAACTTCTACAACTCAAAAACACTTTCAGTAATGTGGCAGGATACAAGATTAATTTAAAGAAAAAAACAGTAACCCTCCTGTACATAGATGATAAAGATGATAAAAGGACTGGGAAAGAAATCAAAGAAACATCACCCTTCACAATAGCCACAAATAGCATAAAATATCTCAGAGTAACTCTAACCAAATAAGTGAAAGACTTGTATGACAAAAGCTTTAAATCTTTAAAGAAAGAAATTGAAGAAGACACCAGAAATTGGAAAGATCTCTCATGCTCTTGAGTAGGCAGATTTAACATAGTAAAAATGGCAATCTTCCCAAAAGCAATCAACAGATTTAATTAAGGCAATGCCCATCAAAATCCCAGCAAAATTCTTCACAGACCTCGAAAGAACAGTGCTCAACTTCATATGGAAAAGCAAAATCCCAGGATAGCCAAAACAATCCTGTACAATAAAAGAACTTCTGGAGGCATCACAATCCCTGACTTCAATATCTACTATAGAGCTATGGTACTGAAAATAGCCTTGTATTGGCGTAAGAACAGACAGGAGAACCAATGGAACCGAATTGAAGACCCTGATATTAATCCACACACTTTCTAACACCTGAATTTTGACAAAGAAGCAAAAACTATCAAATGGGAAAAAAAGAAAGCATATTTAACAAATGGTGCTGACATAACTGGATATTAACATGTCAAAGAATGAAAACAGACCTATACCTATTACCATGCATAAAACTCAAGTCCAAATGGATCAAAGACCTCAACATAAAGCCACCTACACTGAACCTTATAGAAGAGAAAGTGAGAACCACACTTGAACGCATTGGCACAGGAGACCACTTCCTAAATATAACCCCAGCAGCCCAGACACTGAGAGAAACAATTAATAAATGGGACCTTCCGAAATTGAAGAAATGAGAAATAAGATGCCTATATGGTGTTTTAAAATCTTCCAAATATTTATCGCAAAGGACCACATATTTAATTTTGACTTCTGAAAAAATTCATTGCTGCCTGAAGGTGAGATCATCATAATCTCTCACTCCAACCTGCAGGGACAGAAAGCATGCAGTAATGCTATATTCTACACACACACACACACACGTATATCCATATATGTAATTCTTCTACTTATATAATATTGTATTATATATTCATATACTCTATATATACAGTTTAAGAATATATAAAAATCTCTATATAGAGAGTATAAAAATATATAAAATATATGATCAATATTGCAATATATTGATTGCATATAATTTTATATAAATATTACATTTATATAGAAAAGATATGTGTAATATATTTAAATATAATTGTATAAATTAATTATATATTATATATAAGATGGTGGAGAAACTTAGGCATTTCCATATTTACAATAAACAAGGTTGCTCAAATTTCTGTTCAGCAAGATAAATGACAGGGGTCTCATCAGACTGATGTGAAGAAAGAGAAGATATTAACACTAACCCGCATGAATAAAAAAAAGCATGAATTAAGATGCTTGCATAAATAAACATCAATTCAGTAGAAGTGTCTGTTTTTCATCTATGATACTTAAAAGACAATTATGTATAGCAAAACCTATAAAATTGTTGATGGCTATACAATGTGTAAATATATAATAACTGTTAAAAGGAGCACTATGTGATTATATAGGAGAATCATTTTTTACAACACTAGATTTAATTTGGTTTAGTTCAAATTGCATCATTTTAAATTAAGATTAGTTGTAAAATGACTAGAAAAAACACAAGAAAAGCAACTTTCCTTGTAAAGTAGAAGAACCAATGAAGACTAAGTTGATACTTTGGAACATTATTCATTAAAGCAAAATAAAACTGAATAGAACAAGAAAGCACATTGAACACAATTTCAAAGCTGCAAATGTTGTGTCTTCCCTTATAAATAATTACATACCAATCTTTTACAAGGAAGAAGAGACAAAAGTCGGATTCAGGATACACATAGTGAAGGTTAAAGATGGGGAAGATGAGCCTTGTAAACAGAGGCAGGGAGACCTGGAGAGCCATTGTTTACAAAATATCTGAGCCCAAACCTCATAGCTTTAAAGAGACAAACACGCAATTGAGAAACAATAGTTAGAGACTTTAATATCTCACATTCAGGAGTAGATAGAGGAAGTAGATAGAAGATAAAATACGGAAATGTAGCAAAAAAAAAAAAGAGGAAGGGGAATATAGTTCAGTGGTAGATCACTTGCCTCACATGCACAAGTTTCTAGTTTCAACACCAAGAAAAACAACGAAAACACGAACCAATCATGCTCAGAGGCATAAGCCAGTGAGATAATCAGTCACAGAAAGTTCTGTACGTCTGTCACATGACAGTGGAGAGGCTTATCTGGAGAGCACACTGAGCGGCCTTCAGGAAGACATACAGCAGGCAATGAAGCAGGTCTGCATACAGCACAAAGGGCAACCCACAGAGTTTCTTCTCTGGGCAGAGTGCAGGAAAAATAGATGTCAACAGCAGAAAAAAAATACAAGAAATTTACCAAGATGTGGACCAAAAAGAAACTCACGAGAGAAAATAGAAAGATTTTAGCATATTTTGGAGATTAAGAAAAATGTAAACCCAAGATATCAAAGCTTATGAGGCTCAAAGCAAACAGTACTAAGGGTAAATTATCCCAATATGAACACTAAAAACAAAAAAGTTCTAAAGCCATGCACTAGCTTTTCACAGTTTTTTTTAAAAAAAAACTAGGAATAAATGTGAATATAATCAAAAGAAGCAAACAGTAAGTGTAAGAGAAAATTTAGACAAATTGAGAGTCCTCTGCACATCAGTGGCCATGTGAGATGACAGTGAAGAGATAAACAGGCCAAGTCTAAAGGCCTCACCCCGTGCTTTAGTCACCCCAGTCTGTGGTGTTTCATTCAGGTGGACCCAGCAAACTTACCCACTAGTCATTAGAAGTCCAGAGAGGAAATTTAAAAAAAAAATCATTTTTAACAGCATTGAAACCAATAAAATACTCCAGAACAAACAGTAACAGCTAAATATGTTTCCTACATCTATAACAAAAAATAAAATAACCTGGAATAAAACCTTGAAAGAACTGAAGGAGGTCTTGAAGGAAGAGAGAAACACCTAGTATTCATGTCCTGGGAGAACCAATATTGTCAGGGTGGCAATCAGCTTCAAACTGCCTACAGATGCAGAGCTGTCAGATGAAGATGCTGAGTGCCTTTACTGTAGGAACAAACAAGGTTCATGTGAAAGTGGATGGGAGAGAGAAAGAAAAAGTAAGTGTTGACGATCCCAAGTTGGACTACACACACTTTCTTCTTCACGCATTTATTAAATTGCTACAGTAATCGAAATAGTGTGGCCCTAGATATTGAGGGGCTGGAACTGAGAGGCCGGCAGTGAGTCTGTCGGCAGTTTGTTGCTGTTCATGCCTAGACCATGCGGTGGGAAATTTATTTTCTCCAACACAGGATAAAACTTCTCATGATCCCATGCAAAAAGGAATTTTGACTTCTTCCTTTAAAACTCATTGTAAACTACACACTTCTATAAATGTAAAAGATAAATTTAGGAAATAGCAAAACATGGATGTAAATCTGAATGAGCATGAATTTCTTTTTGTGTGTGTGTGTTCTATCCCTCATGATTATGTGTGTGTGGTGTGTGCATATGACATGTGTTGGTGCATGCACACATGTGTGTATGCATTTGTGTATGTCGATGT